CTGTATAATAGTTTTACATTACCACATGAAAACATATTTTACAGAGAATGTTGTTTTTATTTGTTTCTGAATCAATTCAGTTTTCATAAATTATGCTAGCATAACTCAGATTATATTGTTGAATAATCCTTCAGTTAGCCTGATTTTTAGTATTGTTGCAACATTTCTTCATCTCGATGCTAACAAACAGAAACTCTTTGTTAGCTTTAATATTTAATCTCATTTTCCACCCTGTAGTGTGATGTATGCTGCTTTTATTTCACCTTATTTCTGTGACTTGAATGATTTGTAACACATCATAATTTGCACTATTTGTAAAAGCTTCTCTTGTTTTATAGAGTTGTTCTTGTAGCCAAGTAGATTATAATGTTAAACTAGTAGCAATAGATAAAAAGAAGCCAAATTTACTTTAAAATTATAAATGTTTTTTTAAATCCAACAATGTTTGGTGGGATCAGCCGTCTTGATTGCCAAATGTTTCTTTTTTCTTCTTCTTTTGTTTTTTTTTTATATCTAATTTTAAGTTATGCTGGGTAAAAGCCTTGTATCTTCATTTGGGGATAATAAAAAAATCAAGTTTTTGCCTGTCGAGCCCAGGATTAAGAGGCATGTTCAGATACAGCATCACTGCACTGGTTAATAAATTAGCTATACCTTTATCTAGGGGTCCTTAGAGAGAAATACTGTATCTGAAATATGACCCTAAAGAATGTTAAAAATTCTTTTGTTTTGTTTGATTTGGATAAAACCTTGGGAACCAACCCACCAATCCACAGGCAAACAAAAGGGTAGTCCACCAATCCCTAACCCTACAACACATAAAGCCACGCCTCTCGACCAACCGCAAAGCATTATGGGACACCCCATGAAAACGGAACCATGAGAAGGGGGATCAGGGAATTGTATCATATGCTTTTATAGAAAGCTTTTTATTTTTTTCTCGTTTTTTTTTTCTTTTTCTTTTGTGCACTAACAAATCTGTCAATACCTGCTGGGAAACCTAGGTTTCCTCTTTCAAATGACGTCAAGAAATCCTGCTAAAAATAGGATGAAAACAGATTTTCCAGGAGATATCCCAATTTAAAAGACAAATTGAGTCATATCTCTGGAACTGCTCATGATATGAGGATGATCCAGGATTTAAATGTGGCTTAGGAAGTTAAGAATCTGAAAATGAGCAGTTTAGTTTCACCTGATATCAATGATTTGATGTGATGGATCACACACATATTCATTTTCTGAAAAGATTCAAAGATACAAGGTTTCTGCCTGACAGCAGCGTTTTGTAAAATGAATGCCATTTGTTCCTTTAGTGCCATGTTGCCTCTCTGAGATCTCCTTCAAAGTGTTTGGTTTGACCAAAGATCTCCTGATGCACCTCATTTTGTCTTCAGATTTTGATATGGGCTTCATATACATAATCTCTGTGAGGATTTCTCTGTGCAGTGATTTTTGTCTAACATTTTAAGGGTTTTATAAAATGGTGTCATTCAAAAAAAAGTGTAAAGTTTTTAAAATTATTTTATTTCTGCTGTTAAAATGTGTCATTTGTTTTTGTATTTAAGTAAAATCTGAAATCCGAGCGCAGTGTAATGTTTTTTTTTATTTTCACAATATTTTTAGTTCTGTTGGTGTTGATGGATGCTGTGTGTGTTGGGGGAGGGGGGACTTCAGCGCCCTTAAAACAGGCCTAGTGACACCACTGGTTTTAGGACTTTTTAGTTTGTCAGATGTTTTAGTCTGTACTTTGGGTTTACCTTTAAAAGCCAAACATGGCAAATATGTCACTAATATTTTCATAACATTTAAATGTATTCTGTGTATCAAAAATAAAAGTCCAGTCTACATTCAGATTTTAAAATACATGGACTTAAAAAATGGTCTTTAAGAGCCAAATGCTATAATCTTTGTTGGATGATAATATTTTCCTAAGATCCTCTCCTGGAGTAAAAAAGCTAATGTTCTTTGGATTCAAGAAGTATCTGTGATGTTAGTGTCGCTTGCAGCTGCTGAAAGGCAGATTGAAGGTCCTCAACAGGCTGGTTCAATGTAGAGCAAACAGACTTAAGTATGGTGTCGTCTGCAAAAAGGTTAAATTTAGGTGTTTGTTAGATTCATCCACACGTTAACAGAAAATAAAACAAGACTGAAAATTGAGCCTTGAGGGACTCCTCAAAAAAACGTAGCTAATTTAAAACAAGATTTTAAAGTCAGAAATCAGTAAAGGTCAGTTATGTCTTTGTTAAACTTTGAAGAATCCAGTAATTATTATTTTATTAATTAAAGATGTTTAACAGAGAAACACAAGTTCAGCACAACCTTTGATGAATGTCATACAGTTAGGTCCATATATTTGGACAGAGACAACATTTTTCTAATTTTGGTTCTAGACATTACCACAATGAATTTTAAACAAAACAATTCAGATGCAGTTGAAGTTCAGACTTTCAGCTTTAATTCAGTGGGTTGAACAAAAAGATTGCATAAAAATGTGAGGAATTAAACCATCTTTTAAACACAATCCCTTCAGAGGCTCAAAAATATTGGACAGATTAAATAATTGTAAATAAAATGTTCGTTTCTAGTACTTGGTTGAAAACCCTTTGTTGTCAATGACTGGCTGAAGTCTTGAACTCATGGACATCAGACACTGTGTTTCCTCCTTTGTAATGCTCTGCCAGGCCTTCACTGCAGCGGTTTCCAGTTGCTGTTTGTTTGTGGGCCTTTCTGTCTGAAGTTTAGTGAAATGATCAGTTGGGTTTAAATCAGGTGACTTGGCCATTCAAGAATATTCCACTTCTTTGCTTTAATAAACTCTTGGGTAGCTTTGGCTTTATGTTTTGGGTCATTGTCCATCTGTAGTATGAAACGACGACCAATCAGTTTGACTGCATTTGGCTGATCTGAGCACACAGTTTGGCTCTGAATACCTCAGAATTCATTGGGCTGTGTCTGTCCTGTGTCACATCATCAATAAACAGTAGAGACCCAGTGCCACTGGCATGTCCAGACCATCACACTGTGTCCACAGATTGTGTTTTACACATGATGTGGTGCTTTGGATCATGAGCTGTACCACGCCTTCACCAGACTTTTCTCTTTCCATCATTCTGGTAGAGGTTGATCTTGGTTTCATCTGTCCAAAGAATGTTCTTCCAGAACTCCGCTGCTTTTTTAGATGTTTTTCATCAAAGTCCAGTCTAGCCTTTTTATTCTTGATGCTTATGAGTGTCTTGCAGCGTGCAGTGAACCCTCTGTATTTACTTTCATGCAGTCTTTTATGGTAGATTTGGATATTGATACTTCTACCTCCTGGGGAGTGTTGTTCACTTGGTTGGGTGTTGTGAAGGGGTTTCTCTTCACCATGGAGATTATTCTGCAATCATCCACCACTGTTTTCTGTGGACGCCCAGGTCTTTTTGCATTGATGAGTTCACCTGTGATTTTTTTCTTTCTTTCTCAGGATGTACCAAACTGTAGATTTTGCCACTCCTAATGCTGTAGCAATTTCTCGGATGGATTGTTTCTGGTTTTGCAGCTTAAGGATGGCTTGTTTCACCTGCATGGAGAGCTCCTTTAACCGCATGTTTACTTCACAGCAAAACCTTCCAAATGCAAGCACCACACCTCAAATCAACTCCAGGCCTTTTACGAAGGGACTGCCCTCACCTGTCCATGAAATAGCATTGGAGTCAATTGTCCAATTACTTTTGGTCCCTTTAAAAACAGGGTGGCACATGTTAAGGAGCTGAAACTCCTAAACCCTTCATCCAATTTTAATGTGGACCCTCAAATAATTTCAACCCTCAAATAAAAGCTGAATGTCTGGACTTTATGTCCATGTACACTATACAACTATAACTTGAATACAGTATGTTTCAGTAAACAGGTAAAAAGACAAAATTTGTGTCAGTGTCCAAATATATGTGGACCTAACTGTACCTGTTTTACTTAATACAACATAATCATTTATCAGCTTATTGTATATATTTTTATTAGAAGCTTTAATAATCACAGACAGCAGAAAGTGTATTTTTGTTTTATCCCTGAATTTTGTCTGCACTTTATTTGTGTAGTGTGTTTCATCTGTCAGCAATGAGGAACCAATATAAGTTAATAATTAAACAATGTACCAGGAACAAAATAATAAACAGTTTCATCCATTGGTATATAATACTAATAATGAGTGTTAAAAAACTGAAGAAGTATCTAAAATTATACACTAGCTGAATTTTGAGAGGTTATTTTCAACCTCAGAATTATGATATACGATTCTCTAAAATCAGGTTATTGTACAAAAATTACCATTGACATAAATATTTTAAGATTTATAAGCTAGAAGTCTGGTTTTCACTCTTGAAATCAATATTTTTACATTAAGTTGTTTAGACTGAAACAACTATAAATCTTTCCTCAGAGTATTTTCAGGTTTCGTTCTGATAAACTATTAGTGTTTAATGTTCAGGTTTGGTTGCTCATAAATCAGTATCAGATTTTTTTATGGCTGCTTTGTGTTGCAGGGTGTCTATCTTTTGCATTTGTCACAGATCAACGTTCAAATCAAGGTCACTCCCTGAATCCTCTCCAGGACCTCCCATCTTTACCCCGAGACCACTGTCCAGATCTGGGTCAGCAAAGCCAACCTTTGGAGCTTTTGTCTTGTTTCTGGATGATAGTTCATCTTCCCCCTCACTGTCGTCTTCTCTGCTGTCTGGGATAATAACCACCTCCTCCTTAGCGTTGGGATCAATGTCCTCCTTGAACCAAACAGACTTGTATCCTTCCTCAACCCGCCTTTCCTTAGTCAGGATGGGTTTCACATCTTTCTCGTCATCCCCCCTATCTGAGCCGTTGTCACTGGCACCGTCGGGCAGCTGGAAGGCCAGTGGTGCAGAACGTTCCTGGCGCAGGTCTTTGGGAGGGTTGTTCCATTCTGACTTTGGTGGGTTTCCACCAGATACGTTTGGACCACCTGAGCCCATGCTGCCTTCATCTTCATCTTTCTGGAAAGTCTCATTGGTGAACTGCATTCCCTCCTTCTTTCCTCCGGAACTTTGTCCCAGCTGTGCCAGGAGACAAAGGAAGAGGGGCATAAACAAGTTTTCATTTTGAACTTTTGCTGGTACATAGTGTGTTTAACAATGAATCCTTTCATCTGACAATTAAATTCCTCCATGCAGTTGTACATTCAATTACAGCTCCCTTTATAACAGCTCTTTTCTAGGTAAATAACCGCATCTGTGACTTGCGACCTGTGTGCATCAATGTGGCTTGGTGGTTGAGAAATTGAAGCAGCACTGTCCACTCTGGCTTTATGTTCAATCTACATTTATCAGGACAAGATCATAGAATCAACCAGGTGTGGGCGTAAAACCTGTAGCTACATTTTATCCTGGTTCAGTAGAGTGGTGCCAGAGCAGGTCTAAAGCAGCTGGTGATGGTGCAGGAGAGCATGTTAGGTATGTGGAACAAGACAGGAAAAAAAGTGTACGTGTCATGATTTTATTCAGACTAATGAAAGCCTTTTAAGTTTGCCACATTGTAGATCTGGAGAGTTTTTAAAGGCTGTCATTAAATTTGAAAGACATAGGCTGTCTGGACATTTAAATTTTCCTCTCTCTTTATGTAACTACATTTGCAACATTGGAACTTACGGAGCTTCGAAACATGGTCACTTCTTGGATCTTCTTCCAGTCTGCTTTCCCCCTGTGCATGTAATAAACCAGCAGCGCAATGACCACCAGGGAAATAAACAGAAGAATGCCCAAGGATGCTCCAAGTGCCACCATGTCCAGTACTCTGAACTCTCCTGATGGCATTTCTGGAAGAACAAAAGTCAGTGGGATCAGATGTCATTCATAATAGTCAGCCACAATTGAGTTCCAAATCATTCTCAGTCCAAATTATTTTGTTAAAATGCCTTAACTCCTCATGATCCATGTTTTTTTTTTTTTGAGCCAGAAAGTAGGGCCTGCCATTAGGAACTTAAAGTGCCTGTGACATCAATTTTTTTGTAATAAATATGAATGTATTTTTGGAAAAATGACATTGGCAACATACTGTAAAAAAGATTTAATGTCGAGATGAACAGTCGTTGAGATATTAGCATGTGAAATAGCAGGAAGTGATGTCAAAGGGGAATGTCTGAATGTAAACAGTCTTGCTAAAATGGCTAACAACACAGACTGTAGAGATGAATCAGATGTTTCTTTAGATTTTTTTAAATCACTATCTTTGAGAGATGAGGAAGAGTCAGAGTTCAAATAATATTGTTTCAATAAACAAAAAGCAGGAGGCTTTCTTTCTCAAAGAGTTCCCCTTTTATGTCACTTCCTGTTTCACTTTAACTGAGCAAAATTCAAAAGAAATATGCCAATTATGTGACGGGTAAAATCATGTGCATCATGCAAAGTGTCTTAAATACAAATATATTTTCTTTGACTTTCTGTATTTTATGGATATGCATGTCACAGGCACTTTAAAGTGATTGTATCAGACTGACTCCAAAGGTTTACGCTGTAGACATTTTGAATTGTATTGTCTCACTCAGTTGAAGATGGACCTCCAATAACTACTGTCCATTAAAATCCGGTTAGTGGTTTAGAAAATATTTTAACAACATGACAGAACATCACTACATTTTTGTCTTCTGTGGTGAGTGATAAATTATGAATTTGATCTCAATGGGAATTGCCTGGTTAAATAACAGTTAATAAAAATAAAAAATGAGAGATCAGAGCTAACTGACTGGAAAGAAATACTGAGTAAGTGGTTTGTTGAAAATGGTGCACACAATTTTTGTTACATCTACTGTCACTGCATGACAAAACAATGCTCTGTGGTTGATTGGCTTTTTGTCAACACAATCCTTTTTAGTCCAAGGTGGCAGGATAGAAATTGAAAACAAAATTAGACCTAAACATTCTCATCTATAGGATGGTTTGCCATTTCATTCTACAGAGTCAGTGGTTCTTGTAGGAATCAACTGTGTTTTTGCTCCTTAATTTAAAATCTACAATCCTTCTCATTCCTGGTTTTACTCATTTTCATCAGATAGCCAGTGTTGAATTTAATGGAGAAATGTTGGAGCTGCCATTGATGTTGAAAAGCCTTCTTCATGGGAAAGGTGGGATTAGATGGTGTTCTCACTTGTTATGCTGTGGCTGGTGGATGAGATACCAGTCGACATAGTGGGGTTGGTCGTGGACATGATCTCGTTGGTCGTGGGCATGACCTTGGTCGTGGACATGACCTCGGTCGTGGACATGACCTCGGTCGTGGACATGATCTCATTGGTCGTGGACATGATCTCATTGGTCGTGGACATGAGCTCAGTCGTGGACATGATCTCGGTCGTGGACATGATCTCATTGGTCGTCTGGCTGTCGGTGGTGGATTCTTCTACAGATGTGGTGGTGATAATGACTGTGGTGTTCAGGGGCAAACTGGTGGTGGTAGAACCTGGGAGGAAAGCACACTTTGAAGCAGATTTGTTTTATGTGCTTCACTCTGGATGCTAACCAAAGAATACTAACAAGCTGATGCTGTCTGGCTAGCAGTGCTTATCAAACATTTCCTCTGCTATTTGAGTTAACGGAAGTAACACTGTAACTAAGGTTCTGTAAATTCCTGTATGACTGCCAGTGGCAAACAAAGTGGATATGTCCTCTCGCGCTCTGCGCAGGTCGAGGTTTAATGTAAACAAAGTCACGTACGTGACACATAGCTCACCTGAGCATGAGTCTATAAATAGCACGCAGGTGGTTACGTTCGGTCTCCTAGGATCTTCTCGCTGGAAGATGTTCCGAGTGACCAGTGTGACAGGCAGTCATCCAGGAATTCACAGAACTTTAGTTACAGTGTAACTTCCGTTCCGTTTCATTCCTTCCTGACTGCCAGTGGCAGTTAAACAAAGTGGATGACTTATGCCAGCAATGTCACGAGGAACGCAGTACTCACCCACCTTAGGAGGTAGAGGAAGCCAGAGTCAGGATCGCCGCGGCCAGAGTGGACTCATGGCCCACGTTAAGGCAGTATAAACGTGCAAACATGCATGGTGTAGCCCAGGACGCTGCCGCACAGATGTCTCCCAGTGGCACGCCCTCATCGCCGCCTAGGATGTAGACACACTCCTGGTAGAGTGGCATACAATCCCAGAGGGGGCAGCAGCCCCCACAGATTTATAAGCTAGCGCAATGGCACCAAAAACCCAATGCGACAGCCTGTGTTTTGACAGGGCTCACCCCTTGTTCTTACCACCATGACACACAAACAGCTGGTCTGATTGCCGAATAGTCCTCGTAGCCACGATGTACAGCTGCAATGCCCAAACTGGGCACAGCATGTTCGCCAACCTCTGTTCCTCAGAGTGGAACGGGGGAGGACAGTATGCCCCAGCTCGATGACTGTGTTTACATAGCCCGGAGGCAGAACTTTGGTAAGAAAGGCAATGTTCAGCCATAATGTCACCCCCGACCAGTCTGCCTTCCAGTGCAGGCAGAGGTAGGGGTGATGGCAAGAGCATGGAGCTCACTGACTCGTTTAGCCATTGTCACTGCTAAAAGGAAGGCAGTTTTCATAGACACAGATTTAGTGGGGCTGCACACATTGGCTTGAAAGGTGGTCCATTAAGGGCCTTTAACACCAGTGGAAGGTCCCATGTTGCCGCAGGCTTCTGCAAGGGTGGACGCAGCCTCCTTGCACCACGGAGAAACTGTGTCACCCTATAGTGTGCCCCTACTCATCTGCCATCTATCTCTCCATGATTAGCTGAGATGGCAGCTAAGTGCACCTTCAGGGTTGATGCATCCCGTCCAGCATCAAACAGACCCTGTAGGTACCTCAGGATGTCCTGCAGGGAACAAGGAACTGGATCTACCCCCTTGTGCATGCACCATTCTGAAAAATGCCTCCAACAATGAGTGTAAGTCCTCATCGTAGAAGGCACTCTGGCATTTTGAATTGTTTGCTGAATGGAAGGTTCCAGACCTGCTAGAGGCTGCCAGCCCCCATCAGCGGCCACACAGTGAGGAGAAGGTGACCTGGAGACGGATGCCAGACCTTCCCCTCCATCTGGGATAAGAGGTCCCCCTGACCGGAATACTGAGGAGCAGTGGGAACCAGACTCTCATGGGCCACTCAGGACCCACCAGGAGAACCTCTGAGTTGACCGTCTCACCCAGTGGAGAGTGGGCAGAAGCAATGGAAATTGGGGAAAGGCATACAGCAGACCGGGGGGCCACATGTTTGGGCATCCATCCCCAGTGGGGAGCTGACCTCTGCCAGGGAAAACCACAAGGGGCAGTGTGTATTGCTCCTTGAGGCAAAAAGATCCACTTGGGCCCTGCCAAACCGATCCCAGATCCTCTGAACCACCCGAGGATGCAGCCTCCATTGCCCTGGAGGAAGCCTTTGGCGGGACAGTCTGCAACAGAGTTCCTTGTCCCCGACAGATGCATCGCTCTGATGGAAGCAAAGCGAGGGTACGCCCAGGTCCATAGCCTCTGGGCCTCCCTCAGGATTGCAGTGACCTGGTCCCACCCTGATGGTTGACGTGGAACACTGCTGAGGTGCTGTCTGTTTGAACAAGCACGTTTGCCTTCGAGAAAGGTCGAGAAGTGTTTCAGCGCCAAATAAATCGTCCTCAACTCTTGGACATTGATGTGGAGATGTCTCTGTTGAGGGTTCCATCGCTCTTGAACAGACCTGCACTGCCACACTGCCCCCCACCCCTGGGGCGATGCGTCTGTTGTCACCACCTCGCTTCTCGCTGGGACTGCGCCAAGGGGGACCCCATGCTGTAGCCACGTACTCACTATCCAACGACGGAGAAGAGCTGCGCAGTTGGGTGTAACCCGCACCTTGACCCACCGGTGCAACCGGGGGTCCTTGTGGAGGCCATTGAACCATCTCTGCAAGGGCCAGAGTTGAAGCAGCCCCAGAGGTATCAGAGCTGAGGCGGCCGACAGCATCCTCAACAGTTGGACTGGGGGTGCAGCTCCCACATGAAAAGACTGGAGCAGAGACTGGATCCTGTCTATTCTCTCTGGGGTTGGTCAAGGCAGCATGACCACCGAATCCAGGGCTATGCCAATTAAGATCGCCTGCTGAGTCGGGACAAGAGAACTCTTCTGGTGGTTCACGGTTATTCCCAGGGCCTCGACATGGGCCAGAATTTTTGCCGTTGCCCAATCTGCCTCCTGTGATGTCATCGATGTAAGGCAGGATTTTCAATCCTGACAAGCACAGAGGGCTCAAGACTGCCTTTATGCGCCTCGTGAAGATCCGAGGAGCCAGGGAGAGCCCGAATGGTAGAACCATAAACTGATAGACGCCGCCGCGGTAGGCAAACCGCAGGTACTTCCTGTGTTCTGGGTGGATTGGGACATGGAAGCACGCGTCCTTTAAATCTATCGAGGTGAACCACTCTCCTCGACTTATTGTCTGAAGGATGTCACGTGTGGAGCATGCAAAACGGTAGAACTTTCAAAAAACAGTTCAGCCCCCTGAGGTCCAACACTGGCTGCAGGGAAGCATCCTTTTTGGGGATTAGGAAATAAGTTGAATAAAACCCGTCGGCCCAAACATGTGGCGGAACCACCACTATGGTTTTTTTTCCAGGAGGGTTTCCATTTCCTGCAACAAGACCAAAGCTTGCGCAGGATCTGTGACCGAAGTTACCTTGACTCCCGATAGGGGTGCGGGCCGATGGCGGAACTGCAACCTGTACCCTTGGGACATGGTTCTTAAAACCCAGGCATATCTGCAATGGGACTCCCAGCAGGTCAGGTGCATCTGTGAAAACCGTCCCGCCGTCGGTCTGCAGCCTTCAGACAAAAACTGACGCCGCAGCTCCCACACATTGCGCCATCTTGGTTATGGAACAGCTGACCAGGAACCACTGGCAGCCTCCGCAGGCTCTGCCTACAGTCATCAGAGATCGGAGCTTGAGCCAACCACACCTGGTGTCAGGTGACCACCAACATGGACATCAACCGAACAAGCTCCTTAGACATAAGCCCAAAGGCTTGAAGGGCATTTGTATCACCAAGTGCTGCCCCCACCGTACCCGGCTGCAGCATCTGGGACTGTGCTAACAAAAGAACAGACAGGGAATTGCCAATACGTGCCACGCGAGCGGCAATATCATAGGCTCGGCACAAAAAGTTGTCTGTCACCCGGCCCTGGGCGCTTGGATAGCGAGCCTTCTCCTTTAGCGCCTCATCTGGAGAGAGCACCAATCAGGCGATACAGTGATCGACCGGGGTCATGCGACCCAGACCATGACTCTCAGGATTATGCATGGCTGCCAGGATTCTCGCATCCCTTCCATGGTGGGAGAAGCTCCTAGGATCAGCCCAGCAGCGCTGAAGCTCCTCCAAGAAGGCTGGAGATGGTGGAACTTCAAATGGAGGGGCCGCTGGAGCCCAGCAGAAAAAAGGGTTCCCCATGGGATGGGCCACCGGAGCATCATCCAGACCGACCCTGGCCAAAGCTGCCGTGATAATTGCTCGCAGCTGGCACGGTTCCTCCCCAGAGTCAGAGCTGACTAAACTCCTGAGGGGATTTCCTGAACCACCAGTACCTTCCATTCTCAGGGGTTCCCTCTCCTGATCTCGAAGTTTCGGAGAGTGGCCCTTCTGCTCCCAGAGGGTCTAAAACTCTGAAGTGGAGGCCCTCATGGAGATCACATCCTCCTCCAGATCCTCCCGTGACTCCCAGGATGATGTCCGGGAAGCATATACGGGGACTGGATCTGCCAACAGAGCTTTGAGCTGCTCCACCTCAGCCTTCAGAGAATCTACTTCTTGCTGAGATGGATGCTCTAGTCATGGTTCTTCCTTCTAGGACGGCGGCGCTCTTCCATTGGCGCCTCCCTTCGCCTCCCAGAACACGGTAGAGGCATCCCTGGGGGAGCCAGTTCATCAGAAAATAGGAGGCCCTCAACCTGACGCAGACTGTCCTCCCTTACAGAAAAGGGCAAGATACTGCAGTTCATGCACGGGTCAGTCAGAGCCTCTCTGAGATGGTCCACACCCAGGCATTTGGGACACAGGTCATGGCCGTCCTCCACCTGGAGGGAGCCCCACATGAATTGCATCCCGTCATTCCAGCACAGAAGTGGGAATTACAGGCACGCACTGACCAAATGAGCAAGAACTTCAATAAAACTGAAGAACGCGATCAGTCTTTAATTTTTGTCCCCACTGGTCAGGGAGGCTGAGCGAGAACTTCAATAAAACTGAAGAACGTGATCAGAGTCCTAATTAATAATTTAAATTTTTTACTGCACCTCTGGTCGGGTAAACTGAGTGAGAACCTCAGTAAAACTGAGGAGCACAACTCACACACGTGCACGTGCGCCCCGATCCGGCAACTGAGCTTCAATGAAATTGAAGAACGTGTTTAGAGTCCAGGTGTCCAAATGAGAGCTGTGAAACACAGAACGCGGTCAGAAAACCGGGATCGCTCCCCGGCTGCGCGCTCCTCCCCACCTGGAGACAGGGTGGAGGAAACGCCAGCCCGCTTCGAAGCTGGAAGCAGAGTCGTCCGAATGCAGACACACCCACCACGCTTCCTACTACAACAAACAAAACTTAAGACATGCCAACCACAGCCAGAGGGCTGAAAGCACTCCGACTAAAAAGTCACAGGCAGGATGACGCTAAACCACACAAACGTGTGCTTACCTCTCAAGACCTGCAGAAGCCGATAAGATCCGAAACACGGACTTACGGGAGCAATTAACCTGTGAAGCACGCCAGGTAAACCGTGAGAAGATCAAAGAGACCGAACGTAACCACCTGCGTGCTATTTGTAGACTCACGCTCAGGTGAGCTACGTGCCACGTACGCGTCTTTGTTTGCATTAAATCTCGACCTGTGCAGAGTGCGAGAGGACATATCCACTTTGTTTAACTGCCACTGGCAGTCAGGAGGGAATGAAACAGACCTGTAGTTGTTGGTGACAACAGAGCAGACCAACCACAGAACATGGATTGAAGTCCAATTTATCAACCCAGTAGGTAAGCACATATTTTTGGGTCTGCTAAAAACAAAAAGATGGAACTTTTAGTTCAGAGGACAACTAGTAACAAGTTTCCTACTTTTGAAAAACATTTTTTATGGTTTTGTCATGCAGTGTTGTGCGGGATACTATTGCATCAAGCCAAACAGAAAACAGCCAGAGGTTTTAACTTACTCAACTTCACCTCCACATTGAGTTGTGCTGTAGCTGTCTCATCATTGGATGTGTCTATGGCCAGAATCTGGAAATTAAAAATGGGTTAAATAATAAATTTACAACCCAGTACATAACTTTAAAATTTGGTGAACTTGCCTGCAGGGATAATGTGCCATCTGGGAGATCTTTGGTCAGGAACAAGAAGCCACCAACGATGGAGAAACCATCACTACCTTCGACTGAGTAAGTAATGTGAGGATTTCGACCCTGTTTGAACAGATATAAGGTTAGCACCAAAAACTCTTCCTGAATTTTAACAACTCACGCAGTGTTGTGTAGTTTTTTTTTAATTTATTAATTTTCAATAATAGATGCAAAACAATGCATGATATAATATCAGTCTGTTTTCATTGTTTGATGTCACTTTTTTTTCTCACACAGTCAACAAGTTTGTCTGAGTTTTACCCCAGTAGAAGAGTAGTCCTCGTCTGTGGCCAGGATCTCTAACGGCAGATTGTCGTTTGCACTGAGTGCCGTTGATCCCTTTGAGGTGATTAGAGCGTCATACAGAGTATGCTGAAACTTCGGTTTATGAAGGCTCTTCACTGTAACTTGGATTGTGAGAGTAGTTGTGGCAAACTGATGGCTGTTTATCCTCTGAGCAGCCTGTGTGAAAACAAATTCAGCTTACATTAGATTTTGTTTGTGACAGCAGGCAGTTTTAATACTGTTGTTTTGCTACAATATGTCCCAGGTTGAAACATTTAAACATAAGTTGGAGTTTCAAGCTTTGTTTTCTGTTTGGAGTTTGCTTGTTCTCTTCATGCATGTCAGGGTTTTCTCTGGTTACTCTAACACAACTGTGTTTGTTCTACACATTCTCACTCCCAACTCGTCACATATTGACGTTTAAGGTAAGGTTCCCTCTGCGTCTTATTTGGACGCAGAAGGTACCCCCCTCGCGTCACTCCTTGACGCCCACGGCTTTTCCGGGTTGCGCCACCAGGGGGCTTTGGGGCGGGTGTCTGAGGTTAACATGAGGGATCGGGTTTAATGGTTAAGTTTAGGTACTGGGATCAGGGGTAGGATGTCCATGGTGAATATTAGGTCATTTTACGCTTTAGAACATGTTCACCTGAATTTCGTACATTTTCTAAAAATGGTTAATTTTACCTACTAGGGTCAGGGACAGGATGTCTAAAGTCAACTAAGGTAATTTCAGGCTTTGGAACGGTCGTTTTTGCGCATTTTATACACTTTCTGAACATATGACAACAGCTTCCGCCCCATCTCGTCAGTAACTGACGTGAGGGGGGTACCCCGCGCGTCAATATCGGACGTAGAGGGAACCTTGGAAAACGTCAATATGTGACGAGTTGGGAGTGAGAATGGGTTGGTTTGTTTGCTGTGTTGACAGATGACGTCAGGCTGAGCTGATGTTTTCAAACAACATTATGATCTGTAGGGAGACTACGGAGCAGGTGGAAGAGAGCCTGGAGAGGTGGAGGTTGGCTCTGAAGGAAAGAGGAATGAAACTCAGTAGAAGTGAAACAGAATCCATGGGTTAGTTTAGGGTCACACCGTCATAGAAACAGAGCTAAAGAAGAGCAAAGAGGAGGTTCACGGATGTGGGGACAGAAGGTTGTTGTGACAGAGGAGGATGCTGGGATAGAAGAGATGGGGCAGATTTCATTCCATGTCATCTAGAAGGAGCTCTGATTTGGTTTATGTTTGCAGGTTTTCAACATAAGCGTCTTTCTTCCTGAAAGTGTTTATTAATGGACCCTACTTTATTCAGTGTATAATGCATGACTCCATGATATCTTGGATAGTGGTTTATCCATTACTAGCAGCCTTGATACCCCGCAGTTCTGGCTTCTCTCCATTGGCTTCCTGTTCATTTTAGGATAAATTTTAAGATTTTATTCCTTACTTTTAAAGCTTTAAAAGGTCTGGCCCCATCCTACCTGTGTGATCTCATTAACACCCCCACTTCAGTTAGAGCACTTCGGTCATCCAACCAGTTTCTCTTAGATGTTCCTAGATCCAGGCTAAAGTTTAGAGGTGATCGGGCCTTTGCAGTCTCTGCCCCAAACCTTTGGGATGGTTTACCTCTTAGCATTCGGTGTGCAGAGACTGTTGAGACTTTTAAATCTCTACTTAAAACTCACTTTTACTCCCTGTCCTTTCATTCTGGTTGAGTTTGAGATTCATTTAATGATACAATAAAATCAATTTAAAATACAGAAAAACATTAAAACATTGTCTACATTTATGCATTTCTCTGTTGTTTTATTCTATATTAGTTTTGTTTATTGTGTCTATGGTGTATAATGATGTGATTGTGATGCTGTATTTGAGTGTTTTATGTGCTGCAGAACGGGAGCCTGCTGTAAAACAGCAATTATGCCGAGTCAGGCTTGATTTTTAGTAATCTTTTCCTGTCAAATCAATAAATCAAATCAAATCATTTGGCTGAATTGTGAAGCTATTTAGTCAACTTTTGTTGTTTTTTATGTGATGTATAAATAAATTGACATTGACATTGATACACAACTTTCAGTCCCTTTTTTACTTTACCAGAACTGTTAAACTGATTGGCCCCAAAATGTCAGCTGGCTTCTGCATTGTGATGTTTCCTGTGTTTGGGTTAATCTGAAACAGATTAGCTTCATTTCCTGTAACATAGACAGAGCATATTCCATTATTCAGCAACATGTTTCTGCATATAGACATCAATCTGTTCAAAGCTCCTTACCACTTAGGAAGGAATATGTTATTTCCTCATTTATTCCATTGTCTCCATCAACGGCATAGAGTGGTCCTGGTTTCAAAGGTAACACCCCTGGCTGGAAAAAGAGGCAAAACACACCTGTATGTGTTGCTTTTGAACATTCACTGCAGAGAGTCACGGCAGTACAAAAATACACCTCCACCTGTATTTATATTTATCAAAGATTCTCCCAGTCTGGGTGCTGTTACTTTTCCTTAAGTGACTCACCTCTTGTTCATTTAAGTTAACTCTGCCAGTGTAGCCAGCACTCTGGCAGACCATAACTCCGCCAACTTCATATTTGTTGCAAGGCTGGTACCATGGGGGTCTGTTGTCCACATCTGAGATGGAAATAATTATGGTTGTGGTGGCGGTGAATGAGGGTTCTTCAGTGGTGGTTAATGGTGTGTCCTAAATTATGGTGTTTGAGAGGGACAGTTGACTTCCAAATACAGAGAGCATCAACTTATATTTGTTGGAAGATCAGTTTATCAGGCATCAGCGAAAAATACTCACTTGAGCTTCAAGAAGCAGTTCAACCTCTTTGAGTTTATCATAGTCAAGAAGAGCGTTTACAAGGATCTCTGAGCTGGTAGGTGTCCTCAGTTTGAAATAAGTCTGTAGAAGGAGGAAAACCATAGTTAAAGATGACTTCTCTTATGTTGAAGAAATCTAACTTTTACTGAGGAAATTTACAACAACATGCATTCATGGGTCTGTAAGGCAGAATGAATGAATTTAAAACATCTTACAGATTCAGGCGTCAGCCTGTAGTACAGCCTGTCATTGTCCAAGTCTGTGGCATCGAACCGACCCACATGTGAATCAATGGGCAACAGCTGGATAAATAAATGTAAAAAAACAAAAACACTCAATAATACTAAAAAATGTTGGCTGCTTGTTTGATTAAAATGTCTTTAGTTAGGTATCAGTGTCTCTTACCTCATTGACAGGTGTAGGGTACACACTTTGTGCAAACACAGGAGGGTTATCATTTACATTCCGTAGTAGTACGACAACAGTGGCACGGTACTGGAAACAATAAAAAATGTAGTTTATTTTCCTTAAGTTTCCCAAAGGTTTTATTTATTTATTTATTTATTTATTTATTTATTTATTTATTTATTTATTTATTTATTTATTTATTTATTTATTTATTTATTTWYWTWTTCTGTGTTTTATTTATGCAGTAAGCCTGAGACACCTCCATCTTAAAAGCTGACTCAAATTCTTCACATTTTTTAAAACAAATATTATATCTCTGGTTAACTTATACAGAAATGTATCTTTATATATTTTTTGGATTTTATCAACCCCTTTGAAGAAGCTGTAAAAACAAAACCGAGAACACAGAGAAGCTGTTTTTTTTTTTGTACATCTGTTCCTGCGTGTCTCAAAATGTGCAGCACAGTTGGATAAAGTGTGTTATCATGGTTGATACCAGCGTAAGTAAAGCTTAGTTGTGCTTTTATAGCCAACATATTGTTATTACGGTAACTTCACTCCTGCTGCTCTGAGAAGTGTGAAGCAGCTCCTTGGTCTGTCTCTCTCTCCACCCCCCCCCTCCCACACACACACACACACATCTGGTTTTTATATCCCTGTGGGGACCATGGATTGACTTCAATTCATTATTTGGAAATTTTACATCCTAACCCTGACCATTTACCCTCAAATTAACCTCACAGGTACCCTAAACTTAACCAATCTAAACTAAACAACATTAATTTATTGTTTTTATAAATTAAATCTTACATTCTGTGCTCCTTCTTTCATGCATACGATCATGACAGGAAAAGAACGCGACATCTGCAAGAAAAAAAACAAGAGGAAGACACACCCCCCCCCCACACACACACCAATATAAAATTAGTGAGAACAAGTCTAAGATGTCTTCTTGTCTTTAGACATGTTGTTACTAACCGTCTCGTAGTCCAACACAGCCGTAGCTCTCAGCTGATTTTCAACAATCTCGAAAGGGAAACTTGGGTTGTTTTCAGGGGCGTAAGTGACCACCGTTCCAGGCTCAGCGGTGAAACTTAGCACGACATCACCCACTTTATTGTTTTCTGCAAAGTCTACACTTGTGGGAGGACTACATACTGTGGAGAAAGAAGAAAAAGAAAATTGTCATCAGATAAGAAACTCTCCAAATGTTTCTCTGTTACAACTGTGATGACGTCTGACTGAGAACATTTCATCAGACACAACAGCTTTAATGTGTTGAAACACCTTTAGAGGCAGGCTTGAATGAATCACGTCATTGTTTTATTTCTTCCTCCATTCATTAAAGAACATACATACATCCTGGACCAGTAACAGTCCACCTCAGGACCACACATCTGAATACACCTAGAAACACTTTGGGATGACCAGTAAACCTAACGTATGTTAATGTGAAGGAATTTGTCCATCTTTGCTTGTCCATGGTTGGGTCACTAAAGCAACAGGAGAGAAACCCGGACCACCCTCTCCAGCTCCGCCTGCACAGCCCAAGCTGCTCCCAGGCCTGACAGGATAATCCCTCCAGAGACTTCTGAGTTTGTCCCCAGGGTCTTCTTCCTTCAAAGGGAGGAGCCCAGGGAGCATACCGATCAGATACCAGAACCACTTCAACTGACACCTTTCAACGTGGAGAAACAGAGCTGTACTCTTAATTTGAATAACAGGACCCCTTCCCTCAGCTTTAATCTGAACCTGACCACCGTACAAACGATCATTTCAGCCACTTTTCTGTGTCTGGAGCCTCATATCTTTAATTATGAGCCACACTTTAATACTGTAGATGAGAAAAGCCCCTTTCATAAGTCAAGTCTGAATAATCAGAATCAGAAAAAAACCAGGATACTCATTTGAGACCTTTGCCTTTTGGATCAGCTCCTTATTCACCACAACAGACCGAAGCAATGCCCTTATTACTGCTGATGAGGCATAAATCCATCGATCCATCTCCCACATTCTACAACACTCCTCACAATCAAACTCCTTCATTTGAGGCAGAAACTCGTCTCCAACCTGACGGGACCATCCTGCTCTTTTTTTTTTCTCAATTGAGGAAACTTTAATACTAAAAATAATGAAGAAAACAACAACAACACAGGAAGAACACACAAACTCCAAACAGAAAGTCCCCAAGTGAGATTCCAACAGGTGGCTTTTATGCCAATTACAACCAGCATGCACCTTTACTTAATATTTAAAAAGAGCTTTTGAAGTTATTGAGACCACATGAGGCTTCAGTTTAAGTTCACTTCGTCCGCACGTAACTCATTGTATTCACAGTTTTTAATTAAATATTTAAACGAGACATAAAGCCTCCAGTGTTTAAACTTTAACTGCATTCAGATTTACAGTGATCTGGTATTTGATTTAACACTATATTCCATAAAAAAAGTACTCTATGTTGTCTAACTGGTCCTGTAACCTCTACAGATACCGGGGATGATAGTCCCGAATAGAACAAGAGCAGTTCTACTCAAATAGTTGTGGACTAATAAAGATTTATATAAGATTAAAAATGATATTAACATTCAGAGGTAAAAGTTTCCTGAAACATGTCATAGAGTTATATAACTTATATAACTCTGAGTCAACCGGTCCACAACTATGGTGCTGGTTCTGACACATCACTTCCTGTCTCAATCATTAATCTTTACCGTCACCGTTGAAGGTTTGTCTGTTAGTAAAATATCTTGGTTATCACAGAACAGATTTTAAGAAACTTTTAGAAACTTTAACTGATTTACTTTACAGACCACCTGGTTTAAGATGGCCGCCACAGCAAAGAGATCTTAGGGAACTCATAAAGGTGACACATATTAGGTGTGTTAGTAGCTAAAACTGATCCTAAATGATGGGTTTGAAACTTGGCCAATAAATTCTGTTAATCAGCAAAATATTTCAAATATCACAGAACCAGTTTCAATGAAACTGTTCTTCTCTATGAACTGACCGAACAAAACACAGAAATTGCTAAAACTCTGTGAAATTTACAGATACTAAGTTAAACTTAAAGTGATAGTAGCTGGCCATCATCACATATATTAGGTACCAACAGATCCCAAGTTCTTCCTGTCTCACATATAGAAGCTGTTTGACCCCAGCCTGCATCAGAACCAGTTGAAGAATCAGAACTCACTCTGAGCTGCCACGCTGGCCGTCTGAAGCAGAAGCAAGCAGAGGAAAAATGGATAAATCCCATCCATGTTTCAGTCCGAGCTCCTGCAGTGTGCGAGCAGATCTTTGTGTCTGTCTCTGTTTTCTGCTTATCTGCTTGTTGTTCGAGCCTCGGTGGACTTTTACCCACCATAAAAACATGCTCTTCTGCTTGATGGGAAGCCATAAAAGGCACGGTTCGGCTGCTATTTATTTTATATTTGGTGAATTTGACATTAACTAGCTGATCATGACCTGCTTGCACACACTGAGAAATGAAAATGGTCAAACGGGGAGAAATATTTGCTGCTTTGTGTTTTACACAAACGTTTTCTTCTGCTTCTAGATCCTGGTATCAAGTTTGTCATCTGATTTGGATTTATGGTTAGCAACCGGTGGACAAACAAAGCACATCAGAACTGTGTGTGTGTGTGTGTGTGTGTGTGTGTGTGTGTGTGTGTGTGTGTGTGTGTGTGTAAGAGAGGGAAAAATGAAGCCAACCAGGAAGTGTTTGGTAATTTTTTTAGCACCTCCACAGGGAAACCTTCAGTTTTTCAATGTTTTTATGAAGCGATTCTATCGTTAAAACTGGCGACAGATCAAAATTTATTGAGCGGAAAACACACCTAATTGTATTTATTTTTGTTTTGATGCCTTAAAGCCTCACGCTCGAATGAATTTTCAGTTTGATCACATATATAAAATATTCCAGGTTGTTGAAGTTAAATTGGGAGAAACAAATGGAATTAATAAATACTGGTTGAGGCTTCAACAGAGACACAAGACTTTCAAAGGGGCAAATGCTCAAAATCTTGATTAAAATTGGGTTTTAAAACAGTTTAATTAAGATAATTAGGCAAATGACCTGCTGAGTTAAAGAAATTCAGATTTAAACAGAATTTCTGTCTTTGGTCGATCACTTTCTGGTCCATCTGTAGCTGGGGCCAAACCTGATCCAGTTCTTATCTAACACACAGTACACCCATTTCAATCAATAAAACTAGAAAACATAAATACTAAAGAACTCATTATTTCTGTGTTTGTGTATTTTAGATAAATATATTTACAATAAAAACCACCAACTTCTGCTTTGTCTTTTCAGGGAGCTGTTGCTTTTCTCAGCTGTGTGAAGTCCACAGAGAGGTCGGCTGTAAAAGGTTTAATAAAGTCATAAAACACTGACAGAAGTTGGACCTAATTAAAACGATCCTTGCTTTCTATTTAACAGAACTGGACAGAAAACCCTGCATTGTCTCAGCAGGTGGTGTTTTCTTATTCACTTTCATAGTTGTGTCATAATGTGACATTGTCAGGATTTGTTGTGTGGAACCCAACGTGCAGACAGACACGAGGACTTGAATGCAAACAAAACTGATTTAATAAATGACAAAAGAAAAAGGCTGACATGGCAGCAAAAATACAAACGATAACACGGACAGAGACGAGGCATGAAAGACAATGATCCAACAGGGTGATGAAGACATGACACTGGGTAAATACAACTGAGGATGATTGGGGAGTGGAAGCACCTGGGTGATTACTGACTTAGGACAGGTGAGTGTGGCAGGCTGGAAAAATACTGAGAAGCTGCTGAGGATAACATGAAACAGGAAAAGAGAATATAAGACACAAGATGACCAAACAATGAAACAAAATTCTAATACAATGAACCATAAAAAACAAGAATCATGACAGACATGTTTTTATTTGTGAAACAATAAAGTTAAAAATCTTCTATTTCAAGGCAAACCTGTTTTTATTCTTAGAGACGATGGCTGTGTCCAAAACGACAGGCCGGGTCCTCCGGAGGACCCACCCTGTCGAGGTGGGCCGGGTCCTTGGTAGACCGGGAAGACCGGAAAAAAAGAGGCTGTGAATTTGGACGGTCTAGCCTCCCCTCCTTACCCCAGCGTACGTCATGTCACCTAGCAACTGTGACGATGCTAAACAAGCAAACTTAAATCAAAATTATAAAAATATCAATATATTMGCATTATTAATATCACAAAACTATGAAATTAACTTAAAGGTAACATTTGAAGAACTAATTGACCCGCTGTAGGTGCATGTTTATTTAGCCTTTTTTATGATAAAAATAATATTCAAAACATGTCCATACAAATGATAAATGTATTAGAATTACAACCGCTAATTTTTTTTAAATTTCCATATCACCATATTTTTATTTAAAACATATTCTTTTCTCTCGCTTCGTCCGCCATTACTAGCTTAAACAAATCTCCGGTCGGGCCGCAATGCATTATGGGATACGCTGGGCCGGGAAGGATCCATCGGACCTGTCCTTCGATTCGGGCCAAAGGAAGGACGTATTTGTCGGCTGCATCGGAGGAGTCTTCGGTTTTGGACGTCCTTCGTCGCGGCGCTGTGACGTATGCGGCCGACAAATTCGGCCTTCGGAGGACCCGTCCTGCCGTTTTGGACACAGCCACTGTCAGCCGTGAAGGGTTTTAGTGTGTCACTACAACACGTTGCACAAAGCTAAATATGAGAGGTTTACTGTAGTCACAAGTAAATAAAAACACATTTTACCAGAACTACAACCATTCAAGTGTCTGCACTCAAGGAGTCTTGTCATTGCACTTCAGCTCGCTAAATTGTTTATATTTTTGTTTGCATCAAATGTTTTGTTTTCATATTTATTAGATCTATTAAACATGAACCATGTTAGGTTACTTTACTGTGTGTTGGCTTAAGAAGCATAAATACAAACCATTGTTATTGTGTTTGTGTGAGTGTGGAGCTATATGTAACTGGACAGCGGTGGTTGAGTGGTTAGGAGAGATGTTCATCTAATGTGAGAGTTGGCGGTTTGATTCCCTGCTATTCCATCACATGTTGATGTGTCCCTGGGCAAGACACTGAACCCACGCTGTGTGTCCCATCAGTGTGTGATTTAAAGCTCTGATTAGTCTCTATGAATTGATTTGTACATTTTAGCTTCCATTGTTGTATAAAGTACCACAAAGTGAAACTTGAGTAAAAGTACAAGTATCTTACCAAAAAATTACTTTTGTAAAAGTTAAAGTCTCAGTTAGAAATATTACTTGAGTAAAAGTTTTAAAGTATCTGATGTTTTTGGTACTTAAGTATTAAAAGTAAAAGTATTGATTTGAAATGAGCAGTTAGATTTTCTGTAAAATTTATTAGGAAGTGACCTTCACAAAAAATGCAGAAACGACTACATTGGATTAAAATAATTAATTTAGGTTTAATTTAGAATGCACCAGTCTACCTGTTTCAGTTTGTATACATATACTGTATCAAGGCTGCCTAAACCTTTTCTCCAAAATGAAAATCTATCTGAGGGCTGCGGCCAAATGCAATAATATAATTCATAAAATACAAATATTTCTTAAGTACTTTTATTTGAATGATTATGTCCTGCTGGAGTGTGACATGATTCGTTTGTGTACAAACTAATACAGTATCAGAATTTTATATATTTATACTTCTCTTTCAACCACAATTAATTTCCCTCTGTCTAGGAGGCACAATTTATATGGATAGTATTTATTTTTACAATAACAAGCTGGAATGAAAACAAGCAAAACTGAAAATATAAGTAATGACTTTCTACTTCTTATCTTTTTTAAAAAATGTAAGAAGTAAAAAAAGTACAGATAATTGTGTGAAAATGTAAGACGCATACGTAAAAAATAGGCTGAAAAATAATTACTCAAGTAAAGTACAGATACCCAAAAATTCTACTTAAGTACAGTAACAAAGTATTTGTGCTCATTTATTTTAAAACTGTTAACTTTGTAGTGATATCTTGTACAGTGCTGTGTGCAGGGACGGACTGGCAAACAAGAATGCTGGGAGTTTTTATGACGATTTATAAAGTTTAGAACTCAGAACAGAAAACCAGATGTTTGTTTGTTTTTTTACTTTATTTTATCATGAGGAAGAATGAAAATTTTCACCAACATGAATATAAAATTTGGCAGAACAGTTGCACAGTTATGTTTCTCATGTGGCGGAGTGGTTAGGGGAGTCGTCCTGGAACCAGAAGGTCACTGGTTCGATCCCCCGTCCAGCCATCTCAGTCGTTGTGTCCTTGGGCAAGACACTTCACCCACCTTGCCTACTGATGGTGGTCAGAGGGTCCGGTGGCGCCGGTGCATGGCAGCCTTGCTTCTGTCAGTGTGCCCCAGGGCAGCTGTGGCTACAATGTAGTTTGCCATCATCAGTGTGTGAATGTGAGTGTCAATGGGTGAATGTCTGTAAGTGTAAAGCGCTTTGGGGTCCGGAGGGACTTGAAAAGCGCTCTATAAGTTCAGTACCATTTACCATTCAGTACCGTTCTCAGGATAAGGGTTGCTGGATCAAATCCCAACCTGGGACCTTTCTGGGTGGTGTTTACAAGTTCTCCCTCTGCACGGTTTCCTCTCACAGACCAAAGACATGCCTTTAGTTTAACTGGTGCACACTGTGGGTCTCAAACAAATGCTTGCTTTGTAAATGCAATTATTTTGAACAAAATCATGTTCAAGTCTGAGAAACTTAAAACTTGGTAGTTGAAAGTGGGCCAGTCTGTCAGGAAGTCCCGGGCCACGTTTTCTCCCCAGTCCGCCACTGTGGACGGGCCTCCGGTTCATCACAGAGACACACAAACAAATGACCATTCAGACTGAGAGACAATTTAGAGCTAATGAACCTAACATTTGGTCTGTGGGAGGAAACTAGTGAAACTGGAGAAAATCCATAAGTGCAACGGGGGAACATGTGAACTCCACCAGAATCTTTGTGGGTTCCTTTTTAAAAATATATAATTATATATTCAATAAATACTTCCACTATCATGTGTTACTCCATGATTCAATGTAAAAAAATACAGAACTTTCATTTATAACTTTAGTTAAATATTAATGAGGACAATAAACTTATTCTTCGTTGTGGATGATTTGTGTCAGTAGATAAAGAGATTAACTCATCACCAGCCAGGTGTCACTGGAGTTTGTTCACTTTTCAAAAAGACTCATTAGCTTTATAATCTAGACTCATAACTGTTGTGAGCATTTCATGTTTAAGTCTTTATTTTATGTCTTTTTTGTGTCTTAGTGCA